GAAGTGAAATGCCGTACTTTAAACTTTCTTAGCATGACCACCATAGATGGCATCATTTAATACATGTTCAAAAAAAGAATGTGATGTTTGTACTGCGAATGTTTTGTTATATTTACTATTTATCAGCTGTGTAAAATAATAAACTTTAACAAGTTAAATGAAAAATTTCCGTCTGTTAATATATAAACACCGTACTACTGAATTTTAGCATATTTTTGAGCAATACACGCGATCCTACATGTGTAAACACGCACGGATATTTCTAACACTTTAATTTATTAAGCATGTGTATCAAAGAGATCCTATAGAAGGGTGAAAACCAATACAAAACTTTTTCAACTCACAAAGAATGTTGATATTCACTAAGTTGCTTGAATTCCCTAAACCGACAATGTTTCTGAGGCTGCAAGAGAAAAGCCCTCGGTCATTTCGAGAAACGTTTTGAATGGTCATTGTTGGAACTCCTGGATCGTTAAGCTCGAATCTTTCGTCTTCGTCAAGAGGTAATTCCATCCCGTCCTTGTACCAAATGACTTCACTTATGTTGGACGGATTGGCCTTGAAAGTGCAGAAAAACTTTGCTTCGTTGGTCTCATTAACAATTAAACCTCCAGCTGGTTGAACTTCCACCACAGGGGAATCTGAATATTGTAAACTAACCATTAATAAAGCATTTCATGAGGACACTTTGGACTTTTCTGTGAAACATGTGACTGAAATTTATTCAAACATTAAGTATTATTTATATTATCTAGACTCTTTAGACTTTTCTCTGAATCATGTGACTTGAATTTTTCAAATATTAAGTATTATTTCTATTATCTGAAAACTTTGGACTTTTCTGGGACTTGGGTTTATTCAAACATTAAATATTATTTATATTACCTAGACACTTTAGACTTTTCTCTGAATCATGTGACTTGAGGTTTTCAAATATTAAGTATTATTTCTATTATCTGGAAACTTTGGACTTTTCTGAGACTGGGATTTATTCAAACATTAAATATTATTCATATTACCTGGACACTTTGGACTTTTTTGTGAAACATGTGACTTGAGTTTATTCGAATATTAAGTATTATTTATATTATCTAGACACTTTGGACTTTTCTGGGACTGGGGTTTATTCAAACATTAAATATTATTTATATTACCTAGACACTTTAAACTTTTCTGTGAAACATGTGACAGGAGTTTATTCGAATATTAAGTATTAATTATATTATCTAGACACTTTGCACTTTTCTGTGAAACATGTGACAGGAGTTTATTCGAATATTAAGTATTATTTATATTATCTGGAGACTTTAAACTTTTCTGTGAAACATGTGACAGGAGTTTATTCGAATATTAAGTATTATTTATATTATCTGGAGGCTTTAGACTTTTCTGGGACTGGGGTTTATGTGAGACACTTTGATTTCAAGGTAAATAAGGTGTTACATTTTTTTAACTGGTTGAAGTAACTGTTATATTAGGTTAGCTCTTCTGCTCAATTGGTAAGAACGTTTGTGATTTATCAATTATCCTCAAGAGGAAGTTTTGTATGTGAAATCTCTTGTAATTCACAACAAGTTGGTACCCAACTGAAAAATCTAAATTTTTGTCAGTTAAGCTCAAAGACAAGCGTGTTTTTTGTGAAAGGGTAGAAATGTAGTATCCGTACAGTTTAAACAGCTAAACAAATGTGCCTTAATAGCACACTTATTTCCCTCACTTCATTGGATGAAAGACGAATTCCCAACTACGCAGGTGTTAACGATTCTTGGATATCGCCGTGCATACAATTTAAAGCAATATTTTCCTAATAATGTTTGAAACTTTCATCTTAGTTTTACACAAAAATATCATCCTACATTAAGTCAGTTGAACAAAACTTAATTATGTTATAAGAAGGATTATCAGCTTTTTAAGCATAAATTAAGTAAAAAAAATAAAAACACAAATTTACAAAAATATTTAATTTAATTAATTTAATTTAAGTTAATTACCCGACTAGTTTTGACGCTTAAAGAACTGTTGATTTTGTAAACATTTGAACTAAACTTAATCAGTGAAATGTCGTGTAATCTTTTTTACTTTTCACAACCATAAATGATATTAAAACTGTAAAACGTAAACTTTACAATACTCACACAAAACTTCCAAGTCAATAGACTTCAGAAGGGGAGAATCTCCCTTCTTCTGCATCACTGGATTACTTCCCTCACAAAAAAACGTTCCCTGGTGGTCAAATTGGGAAATAGTAATCTCTAACTGACTGACTGTTTTTAGAGTACCATCATTCATTAGTTCAGAGTACGACTGAGGTTGGGGCTCAACCACTTTTGTATGGTTGTACCAAATGACGTTTGCTGCCGGTTTAGCACCCACTACCGTACAAGTAAGCCACACCGTATCTCCTGAAATCACTGGAACAGTGGGTCCTTCTATCTCCAGTGAAGATGGTTTAACTATAAAATAAATATGCATATATGTGTGGTTAATGCTGGAGTAAAGACTTTTAACACTGAATGAAAATATACATCTTACTCATGTTATGTTGAAATAAACGCCATACTTAATTCGGATTACCTGCCCATTTATCAAAAATGCGTTTTCTACCATTAAAATAACATTAATATTTCTTTCAAACTATTTCTGCTATTTCAATTCTGCACTATGAAAACATGTAAAAGTGCTTAGAAATATTTTCATTTAATTAAACACCGCATTTGTATGTAAGTAAATACAACATATGGGTGTAAATAAACACCGCATTTGTATGTAAGTAAATACAACATATGGGTGTAAATAAACACCGCATTTGTATGTAAGTAAATACAACATATGGGTGTAAATAAACACCGCATTTGTATGTAAGTAAATACAACATATGGATGTAAATAAACACCACATTTGTATATAAGTAAATACAACATATGAGTGTAAATAAACACCACATTTGTATGTAAGTAAATACAACATATGGATGTAAATAAACACCGCATTTGTATGTAGGTAAATACAACATATGGATGTAGAGAAACACCACATTTGTATGTAAGTAAATACAACATATGGATGTAAATAAACACCACATTTGTATGTAAGTAAATATAACATATGGATGTAAATAAACACCACATTTGTATGTAAGTAAATACAACATATGGATGTAAATAAACACCACATTTGTATGTAAGCAAATACAACATATGGATGTAAATAAACATCACATTTGTATGTAAGTAAATACAACATATGGATGTAAATAAACACCACATTTGTATGTAAGTAAATACAACATATGGATGTTAAATAAACACCACATTTGGATGTAAGTAAATACAGCGTATGAATGTAAATAAACACCGCATTTGTATGTAAGTAATTGCAACGTATGGATGTAAATAAACACCACATTTTTATGTAAGTAATTACAACGTATGGATGTAAATAAACACCACATTTCTATGTAAGTAAATACAGCGTATGGATGTAAATAAACACCACATTTCTATGTAAGTAAATACAACGTATAAGTTTAAATAAACACCACATTTCTATGTAAGTAAATACAGCGTATGGATGTAAATAAACACCACATTTCTATGTAAGTAAATACAACGTATAAGTTTAAATAAACATCACATTTATAGGTAAGTAAACACCGCATTTGGATGTAAGTTTGTTTGTTTTGAATTTCGCGTAAAACTAAACGAGGGCTATCTGCCTTAGCCGTTCCTAATTTAGCAGTGTAAGACTAGAGGGAAGGCAGCTAGTCGTCACCACTCACTGCCAACTCTTAGACTACTCTTTTACCAACGAATAGTGGGATTGCCCGTCACATTATAACGCCCCCACGGATGAAAGGGTGAGCATGTTTGGTGTGACGGGGATTCGAACACGCGACTCTCAGGTTGCGAGTCGAGCGCCCTAACCACCTGGCCATGCCGAGGCCTTTCGATGTAAGTAAACGTCGTATTTAGATGTAAGTAAACATCGTGTTTGGATGTAAGTAAACACCACATTTGGATGTAAGTAAACATCGTATTTTCATGTTAGTCTAACAAGTAACTACAAGTTTAACGATTTTAATACACAAATAATTATTTTTATGATAGCCTCTACTGTCTCTAATGATGTTAAAAGTTAACATATTTCGGATACTAGGATTATAATTTATTTACAAACAAAAAACACGTTGTTTGATGAACTTATTACAAGTTTTCTTCGAACGTTTTCACAATAGATTCAGAGAAGATATTTGGTAAACCAACGTTTGTGTCATATTTCTATGGAGATAAGCATTCGCCTTTTATTTTTTTCAAATATTGAAATGTCAAAAGTTAATGGAATATATTTTGAAAAGCTCATTTTAAACATGTTTTTTTCGAAAAAAAAACAACAACAAAACTTACAAATTCATGTCTCTGTACAACTACAGAATACATAAACAAATAACTTATTATAAAATACCCCTAGATCAAGAGCTTTGGAAGGATCTTCCGTTCTTCAGGAGCTCGTGAAAAACAAAGCCATACTTTCAAAAGCTCCTGAGCTTAAAGTCTTTGTAATATACTAAGATCCATGTTTCCTAAATGCTATTATTTTATTGCTTTCGGTCTTTTCTTCTATCAATATTACATTACGTAATACAGTGTATCTTTTCAACATGTTTTGTTTTGTTGTTGTTGTTGTCGTTGTTTACAACCTAGTGGATAAGATGACTGCTTCGAGCATCAGTTAACCAAAAAATCGAGTTATATTTTTCTGAAGTGTGATGAAACTGTTCATGCTATCCCAACTGACAGATAAATTTGTTTGTTTGTA